GCCCATTGCGCCTATGTGCTCTATTAAACCTTTAATTGTGATCATAGATCTGACCTCAGACTTTTGGATATCTCTACTCCAGGAAAAAGAAGGTCCTGAGCGCCAAACCATTTTGTAAAGATGCGTTTCAACAGGTCGGTGGTGGGTTAGAGGATATCGGGTGGTATTTGGTCCATGGTTTTCCTCTTTTGTTCCTATTGATATTGCCATTGAATTTGTTTTATTCATATTGTGATTGTTGAATTCGTTTCTGTATTACCAATTGAGGAATAAAAGTTCAATTACCCAAGTTTGAGATTGAAAAAATCACTGTTAGAATCTGTTTGAAATTTATATAGAAAATGAAAAACAAAAAAAGCATCTTTTCTAAAGTGAAATCATACTTTTTCGTAATATTTATCAAGCGCTGTAGAGTTACTAATGAAATCAGGATATCCAATATTGTTTCTCATACTTTCTGCCTAAAATGCCACATTTAACTTTTTTAAAATTTCTATAACAATACAAATAGGTTTCTTTATTATGAATAATTGCTTATCAAAATCAGATAATTTATCATAGCATTAAAAAGTGATGATGCAGAAAGAAAATAATCGTTTTGTTTTTTCTCTACTTCTTCAACACATGATATTTTTACACCTCAGTAATTCATTGACATCAAAAAATATTACATTACATATGTATTTGTTTCCGATTACTTATTTACTAACTCACTTAACTGCTCAGAATTTATTGTCAGTTTTTTGCATAATGAAAAATAATATTGATAAAAATCAAAATTAAATTAAACCTTTTCAACTGCAACTTTCTTCGTTTCCTCATCCATCCAATCATTTTCATCGACGAGCTCTTTGAACGCTTCTTGAAGGTTTGCAATCATTTTCTGGATAAAATTCTCACAGTTATTGCAATTTAATATAATACAATCTTGGATTTAGTTCGGAAACTCACAATTTTTCAAGGTTTAAGTTATAATTTCAATTGAAATTGTACAGAGCCTAAAAAAAGTATTGAATTAGAGAAAAAGTGAGCAACGTTTCTAAATGTCATAAAATTCTCAAAAGTTTAATTTCCAAATTTGAAAGAAACTGCACAAAAAAGAGAGAAAGTACAGTAATTGTCAATTCAACTCTAAATTTGAGAAAAAAGAATCATATAAACACCAACGATAATCAAATAGCTTTAGCAATAATTTATAAAAAAAGAATATTGCCTAACCAAAGCCTCCTGCTTATCGGTAGAATCGAAATGTTCTCGGACATAAAGTGCCCCACCAGCAAGTGGCAATAAACTTATTGCTCCCTGGGCACATTCTTTCCAGCGTGGCGATTTAGTTTGTTGACCGGTCATTACTCGTAGAAAAGCCTGTATATATTTTAAATGTTTTTTGTGCTAGTGAGATTTTGATACAGTCTCGATGTAGTCCTTACTATGTAGTATACGTACTCCTCACTTTATTAAGTAAACAAACACTTAATTTTATCATAATAGTGTATGAAAAATTTTATTTAAAGTTCTTTCATTAATTGCAAACCTCGAAATATTTCATTAGCAATTTATGTTTATATGCATATTACATGCATCAACGACAAATTTGTTTCCTCAAATCATTTTACTTCATCAATCCTTCTACTTAATATTTATTTCATATCATTTGATTCAAACTGATTTTATTTAAATTTCTATCATCATACAGTTTTGTTCAACAATGATATGATTCACTGATTTTGCTATACCGAAATAAGTGATCCGGAAGTAAGTAGAAAATAGTAAATAGAAAATTACTTGTCTAATATCTTCATATCGTACATCTAATACTTTAACCCATGAATGTACAATTCGCCAAAAAATATAATTTGCCAATAACTGATTGCTATTGTCACTGACAAGTTTTGCGATATTGTACATATAATCAATCTCACCGATAATTATTTCTGTATCATTTCCAATCAAACTATGAATTGATTCTGGCGCTATTTGGTAGAAGAAATTTAACCATTCCACCTAAAATGGACAAAACAGTAGAAGTTACAGTAACCATTATATGTATGTATCAATTTTCCAACTTTAATTTAAGTCAATCATTAGGAATTTAAATTTACCAAATTCGAAAAAGACAAGTTGTAACAATTATTACTTTAAGTTGTTACTCTTAGGCATTTTCTTTTACCGCAAAACATTGAACAACCTGTAGATGAAAAACTGATTCAAATTAACAACTGAAATTTTTAGTGAAAATTATCCTTTACAGTTTCATAAACGTCGATCAAAAATGACAAATGAATTAGAAAACTCGAACTCATCCTATTTTTGCACGTAATCAAAAATGATACTTTTGAATCACTGTGCCAGCATATTTCGTCATTTTTCAATAAATTCATAAATGTTCAGAAAACTGTTCCACTTCTGCATATCTAATTTCTAAGCCAATTTTCGAAAATTGTTAAAAATTCCGCTAATTTTCGGAACAGGAAAAAGAAACCTTTGGAAACAATGTGTATAAATCTGAAATTGTTCTGTCGTTATAGAGCCGTGTAATGTTGCGCCGATCATCTTCTGGTACTATAATCTAAATGATAAAATAATTTTATAACCTGAAATTATTCATACAGATAAAATTTTCATCATTTTTATTAGCCTAGCTTTCTTAGTATGCAATGAGCAACTTTTCAGTATATCAGATGTTAAACCAATACAATTTGTCCTCAGTGTTTTTTAATTTTCTCCCTTCATATTTGGTAAATTTTAAATTATTTCCTTTTTAAAACGTCATCCTATGATTTCATTTTGCTTCATAACCATTAGCAAGGGACAAATTATCGCTAAAGCATTACTCTGAATGATAGAGCTAAAATT